AATCCAATGTGTGAGAGGGATAGAAGGTTTGCAAGAAGCGTGGCAGGTTTGGAATAGCTGATGGGAAGCATAGATTGTATTAATGCGGCCTTGGTGTAAATGCAGAGTTGTATAAATTTTTCTAGCAGTTCTCTGCAGCAATGAGAAAGAAGAAAAAGATGAAGTGTTTTGATTTAATACTGGGTGTCTATGTAAGAGATTGAAATAAGCAATCAAGAAGCAAGGAAGTTGAAGGTTTGGGCAAGAAAACTGTTGAGGGGATGAACAAGAGAAAGAAAGGAAAGATAGAAAAGTACCAAAATGGCCAGAGGAGGGTATTATGAGAGGTATTCATGTAAGTGACCCCAGCTGAGGGTGAGCCCTGAGATGAACTGCAAGAAGATTGTGATCTAAAGTGTCTTCTGTGGACTTAGGGAAAAGGCCAGAAGGTCAACGTATGGTTGACATAATGAAGAAAGAGTGGTATTTTACAACTGGGGCATCACGATGTCCTGTACCCGTTATAAAAGTTATAGATTATAGTACACCAGACTTAGGGAAAAGGCCAGAAGGTCAACGTATGTTTGACATAATGAAGAAAGAGTGGTATTTTACAACTGGGGCATCACGATGTCCTGTACCCGTTATAAAAGTTATAGATTATAGTACACCAGACATAGATAGCTAGTCATTTATATAATCGTCCAATTTACCTTTCACATAGTACATAAATACATGTTATGTACTATGTGGAAGGTACCTAAGGTATAATTCTCAAAGAAGCCTGGATTCTGTGGGAGAGGAGAGTTTCCAGGAAGCAGTGAGATTTCTGGCTCACTCTTCAGACCCTTCAACACATGGACTGGGCAGGAGTGAGCAATCACTGGTCAGCATGTTGGGGCAAAGGGAAAGTTCTCTGAAAAATCAACTCATGACAAAGCAATCTAATAAGAGAAAGCTCGTTTATTTGGATGCATACATGCACACAGGAAGCTTCAGAACTCAACTCCCCATTGGGATTCAGAAGCTTATATGCCTTTCTGATAAAATGGGTTGTGGGAGTGGAAAAGAGGAATTCTACTGAGGGGCAATAAAGAATTGCTAGGGGGGACAAATGGAAGGAAAAAGAGTAATAAGTGATTCTCTTTGGAATTTAAATGAGACTGAGGGATGGGAAATTATCTCCTTAGATAGTCTGTTCAGGTGTTGTCACATTCCTGGTCTTACAAGGAAGGGAAGAAAACAGCAGTTGTTCTCCTAGTTGGGTCTGGATCTCTGATTGGGTAAAGAAAAGTCAGTGATTCAGGAGAGTTGCTGGTGGTGGGTGTGGGAGGGGAAGGTAGTGGGTCAGAGAGACCTCATGCCTTCTTCAGTCTTTCAGATGTCAAAATGCCATATTTTGGCATAAAAATATTTCCAATTTCCTTGAAGGGGCTCTCAGGGAAGGAGTCACTTTGGATAGATGAGAAAGGGCAATTGAGGCTTACATTAAGGCCAGGAGGTACTGGGATAATTCCATGCTTAACCAAAGTGTAACAGAGGGAATAGCCTGAAACAGGGTAAAATGTTTTATAAATTGTCTCTTTAACCTCCACCCCACTTTTTTTGGAATTAAAAAATCTGCATCCCTGCTCAAGGCCATAATTCAGAGGGGTAGGAGAGTGTTTTTTGTTCTTTGTACCCACAGGAGGTGGCTCAAGGGAGGTATCCTGGCAGAGGTCATGAGGTTATCTCCACTGGAGATGCTATAATTAAATAGCAATAGGCCGAAGCTCTGCTTATAGACAGGGCAATGGTCCTTTAAGATGAGAATCTACCATTCTCCTCATTTGCCAGCAAATTAATACACTTCCCTTTCCTTTTCCTAAAACCACTTGTCCTGATTCTTCTCATGCAGCCTCAGGGACAAGTGCTGAACTTTTCATAACGAAAGAATTTGGAGAAAACCATTTCCCAGAAAAGGAACATTTCATTTCTATGTTGGAAACTATATTTTAAAGCCACAGGTATACAAATAACTGGACAGTGGAAATGCTGATTTATCAAAACTAACATTTTAAAATTTTAATCCTTTAAAAAAACTTTTCAAATATATTAACAGTCTTTCCTATTAGTACACCTCCTAGTAAGGGAGGAACAAGCAGCCAACTTCTTTAAGTTCTTTCGGCTAGTTTAAGTCTTTTTGGAACAAGGTGAGGTATAAATTAATATAGTTAATAATAGAATAGCTGGTTCTCAACTTACCATCGGCTATGGTTCCAAAAGTTCATCCTTAAATCTATTTTAAGGCATTTCCTTCT